TTATGTTTTGCATAACTCATTGAATGGTAGAAAAACCCGAGAACAGTTTTCACACACATTGAGCTACCTACAAGAAGGACTGAAAACTGCATTATCTAGACCAGAAATACATAAGCAATACATTGAAGGTATTTAGTTCAGGATCTTGATTTCAAGTAGGTATAATCTACCTTTATTTTGCATATGAGTAACTATAATCAAAAATGTAAAAAAATGATTTATTTAAAGTCTCACTACTTTCAAAATTGAAATCACAGACCGTATTATCCATCTATTCAATTATCTGTATAGGAAATAATTATATCATGAATATTTGCTGTGTATATATGAATGTGCTGTTTGGTATGGATCAAACATTGCATAAACCCTGCACAAAAGTCAAGTTCAAATAAAGACCTCAATGTAAAACCTGAAATACTGAAAATGTTAGAAGCAAATACAAGTGATACAGGTGCAGGGAATGGTTTTCTAAATCAGACATCAGTTGCTCAGAAATTAAGGTCAACAATTGACAAATGGGACCTCAGTAAACCTAAAAGCTTCTGTACAACAAAAGATACAACCAATTGAAGAGGAAGCCCACAAAGTGGGAAAGAATTTTTGTGAACTAAATGTCTGATAGAAGTTTAATTTCCAGAATATATGAAGAACTCAAAATATAAAGAATTAAGTAAACAAATGACCCAATTTTAAAAAGTGCTATAGATCTAAACAGAAAGCTCTCAAAAGAAGAAATAAAAAGGGCTCATTTTAAATTTAAATATTAAAAATATTAAATATTATAATTACAGCCTTAGTAATTAGGAAATTCAAATCAAAACTATCTTAAGACTTCATCTTACTCCATTCATAACAGTTAAGATCAAGAGACCAAGTGATCTATGGGGAAAAGGGAGCCTTCAGTCACTGCTAGTGGGCTTGCAAACTGGTGCAATCACTGTGAAAATCAGTGTGAAGAAATCTCTTAAAACTAGAAGTAAATCCACCATATGAACCCGTTATACCACTCCTTTGGCATATACACAAAGTATTTAATATTCTGCTACAGGGATACTTGTGCAGCCATGACTGTTGCTGTTTTTTTTTTTTTTCACAATAACTAAGAAATGGAAACAACCTAAATGTCCTCCAACCAATGAATGAATGATGAAAACATGGCCCATTTACTCAATGGAGTTCTACTCTGCGGTAAAGAAATATGAAATCATGAAAATTTCAGGTAAATGGATGGAACTAGAAACTGTCCTACTAAATGAGGAAACACAAACTTATAAATGCAAGCAGTATATATTCTTTCAATAGTGGATCTTAGCCCCAACTTCTTAGATATGACTATACATTCTTATGTAGCCACAGGAGCTGGGAAAATGGAAAGAAATCATGGGGATAATAGGAAAGAAGGAACTTGAGATAGAGGAATAGTAGGAGACAGTGTTATCATGGGTGTCATGAGTAAAATGGGGGATACTTTAACTGATGAGTGAATGAGAAGGGGTATAGAAGAAAAGAAAAAGGAAAGAGAAATAATGAAATAATGCTTAGGTTGTATGAAAAACCAGAGGGAAATATACTAATTCCAAAATCTACTGAAAATATACTACACTGCACTACACACACACACACACACACACACACACACACTCACACACACAGTTGCAGAGTTGAAGGCTATATAACAAAAAACATGGCTAAACGGCCAGGTAGGGAGATCCTTCCTTCAAATTGTTGGTCATGGAAGTCCAAGACACTCCCGAAATAAAACAGGATATCACCACAGTGCTTGATTGCCTCCCCTTCCCAGAACTTGAAAATAAGACCCTATTGCTGCAGACAGGACATACTTTGAACACAGAACTAGGCACAATAGAGCTGGAACTTATCTAAAGGATCAGAAAATACTATGCAAACTACCAATGGAGAATACTAATCCAAGGTCTCATACAGCTATAAGTCTATGAACCACAATGACTGATCCAGTAAATAAGCTCTTCTTGTGAGGTAGTGGGACTTTTATCTTGTGGGTAATCAACAGCTATCTAATTGAACTTAAGTCCTGCTTACTGGTAGGTAACTCATAAGTGGTACTGTAAAAAATAGCCAAAAGCACATGGTTGGAGAGGCCATAGATCCTAGAGAAAAAACAGTGTTGTTACATTCATAGACCAATGTAATTTCTTACTGCTTTCTTAATATTCATCCTCATATTTGCAGACAACTATACCTCTTATCACTCATCAAAGAAGTTTTTTTTCAACAGATGGAGACTATTACAAAGTTCCACAGTTGGTCAAGAACACAAAAGTTATGTGTCTGTGAGGTACCCAGCCCTAAGTGGCACATTTGCTATGCAACCTTCACACCTAAGGCTCAGGGAACATAGCAGAACAGTGGGCAGAATAAATATTAATACATCTCTCAACTCTCACCAGTGAAGCTTCTTCATGAAACAGATAAAGATTAACACAGAAAGCCACAACTAGCCAAAGTACAGAAAATAAGAGATTGCAGACTGCTTATTCCTGACTATGGCACCTAGGGGCCATTGTGGAAGATAGGAAGGACAATTTTAAGAGCCAGAGGAAGTTAATGACCAGAAGGAAACTGAGTTTTCTAGACAGCTGAAAAGTTAACTCACATGAGCTTACTGCAATAGTGACAACATGCAATAGAGTCATACAAGCTCAAACCAGACAAAATTCTAGCAAAGAAGTGGGGAAGTGGGGAAGAAGTCACTTGATTACCTCCCCCTCCCAGAACTTGAAGACCCTATTGCTGAAGACAGGACATACTTTGGACACAGAACTTGGCACAATTGAGCTGGAATTGATCTGGAATCTCCTCCCTGAGACCAGCTCCCGTAGGATCAGCAGATCATTAGCTTAGGAACTATGGGCAACTGCTAACAACTCGAGACAGAGAGTTGGTATTCTTTAAAGGTTTTGATGCTAAATAGGTTAACCACGCTCCAGTGGATGGATCCATACTTGTGGTCACTAACCTGACTTGATGTATATGACAAATTACAAGCAATTTGACAAGAGGGCGGCCATATGAGGGTTCAAGATATGGAAGGGTGTATGAAGGATAAAAATATATTGTATGAAATATGCAAAGTTCAATAAAAAGGAAACATTAAATATTTTTAAAATATTATATCCACGGTGGACAGATATGGGAGGGCACCTAAAATATGATAGAGATATATAGTATGAGCTCTCGTAGCACAGTTGATCCACATCCAAAGGTTTAGGCAACACTGATACTTTAGTGACAGAATGCAGCATAGATAATTCACTAAAAATGTGTTGATAGTTACCTGGCTGAGGCATTTTCAAGTAGAGGTTGAATTCACTAATTTAGTCAAATTTTTAAACTAAATAAAGCTAAAGATTCATCAAAAGTATTTTGTATGAAATTCATGAAATTCAATCAGAAAGGAATAATAAATATTCTTAAAATGTTACATATAATACAGACATATTTCATGGGAAATACATGATTTTGGTCCTCATAACTTTTAGTTTATTGTTATTTTTTCCATTTTTCATGTCTGTCTGGTAAGTATCTGCATGTATGCATGCTTTTGCATGTATATAGGTGCATGTGTACCTGGGCAAGTGTGTACCCCTGCAGGTGGAGGCCCTAGGTTGATGTTGGGTATCATCCTTTGTCTCTCTTCCACCTTATGTATTGAGATGGGCTCTGTCACTCGAACACAGAGCTCACCTATCTGGCTGGTCTTGTTAGCCAGCTTGCTCTAGGTATCCCTTGTCTTGACCTATTGAGATTGGAATTACAGGTAGATTACTGAGCACATCCTGCATTTATTCAGGTTTCTTGGGATTTAAACTCCAGTTTCTCATGCAAGTGCTTAGTCATCATAACTTTTATTTTAAAAAAATTTCTTCTAGGGGCCTGGAGAGATGGCTCAGCAGTTAAGAGCACTGGCTGCTCTTTCAGAGGACCCAAGTTTGGTTCACAGCACCCACATGGTGGCTAACAACCCTCAGTAATGACAGTTCCAGGGGATCTGATGCCCTCTTCCTACCTCCACTGTCACTGCATGACATGGATGCACCTACCTACATGCAAGCAATACACTCATCACAAAAAATAAAAATAATCAATTAGTAAAAATATACATTTCTTCTACATACCTTGTTTTAATATAATGTCCTTAAAATTAATAAATTATATATACACATATTTTTAAAGGGGCTGGAGAGATAGTTAAGTGGTTAAGCACTGGCTGTTCTTGCAGAAGACTCAGGTTCAAATCCCAGCAAGCACATGACAGATAACAACCATCTATAACTCCAGTTCCAGTGGATCTGATGTCATCTTCTGTCTTCTGTGGGCATGCATCAACAGGACATGGGTGCACTTATGTACATGCAAACAATACACATATACACATAAAATAATAAATAAAATATTTAAACATAATATCCCTATTTATGTATTTATGCTTAATTGATTTATCAATTCATTGTTTAATCATTGCTATTATTACTTATTTTAATGCTCAGATATTTATAAATGTATCTAAGGGGAACCCATTACCTTTCTATTTTTTTTTAACCATCAATAGTTTTATCTTTATTGAGGTAGTTCAAATATTTAAGTACTTCTAAGCTTTTTAGGTATTTGATCTTGTTTAATGAAGCTGATTAACATGAGTCCAAAAAGTCTTCCTCTTTCAGACAAAGCCTATCATTTCTGTGTCAGTCAGCATCTTTTAATCTTCGGGATGCTGTCCCTAGATTCCCATCGGTTGATCTTACTTTGTTTTCTCAGACCGTTTTCTTCCTTGTTACCCAGTTGAGTGTCCTTGGCATTTTGTGTGTACAGACAGACAATCAGAGTTGCTGCAGGAGCCCTCAGGAGTGAGATGCTAGGAAGTGAATGAAGTAATACACAGTCATAGTAGCTGAGATGGGTGAGAAACCTTAGGAGGCCCTGTGGTCCGAGTTCTGCTGCCTTGGGAAAGCTGCTCAGGTCTAGTGGGAATAGCTCAAGATTGGAGTCACTTGCTGGGTGACTTGGATGAAGGTAGTTCTCCGACTTAACTCCTTCAGTTTAGCTGCTCCCACGTAGGTACATATAGATTGGATCCCTCCTAAGATGTCACAAATAGTATGTTCCACATCCCCTTTAAGGGGAGCTTCTACTGTCTTTCCTTCTGAGGCCTTGTATTCAGCCACACCTCCTGAATACTTCTTCATGGCCATTTCAGAACTCATTCCATAGAAAAGCTTGTACTTTTTGCCATCCCTCTCGATGAGTTCACCACCTGATTCACTATGTCCAGACAGCATGCCACCCAGCATCACAAAGTCTGCTCCTGCTCCAAAAGCCTTTGCCACATCCCCAGGACCGCTGCAGCCTCCATCTGAAATGATAAGACCTTTGAAGCCATGAACAGCATCTGCATACTCCATCACTGCACTGAGCTGTGGATACCCTACTCCAGTTTTCTTCCAGGTTGTACAAACAGAGCCTGGACCAGTTCCCACTTTGATGATGTCAGCCCCTGAGAGGATTAGTTCTTCCACCATCTCTCCTGTTACCACATTCCCTGCCATGATGGTGTGTTGGGCGAAGTGCTTCCTTACATCCTTTACAAATTCAACAAAATGTTCAGAGTAGCCATTTGCCACATCCAGGCATATATATTTCACTTGGAGAACAGCTTCCAGGATCTGTTCCAGCTTCTCAAAGTCAGAAGAGCCTGTGCCTGAGCTGGCAGCCAAGTACTCAAGACAGTCAGGATTCTGGCCGGCAAACTTTTTCCACTGATGGAGGCTGTAGTGCTTGTGGACAGCAGTGAAAAGGGAGAACTTACAGAGAAACTTAGCCGTCTCAAAGGTACCCATGGTACCCATATTGGCGGCAATGATAGGGACACCATTGTACGTCTGCTTTGAGTTCCGAAATGAAAAGGATCTTGTGAGATCCACCTCACTTTGAGACTTAAAGATGCTGCGTTTGGGCCTTAACAGGACATCCTTGAAGTCCAGTTTCACATCGTTGTCAATATGAGGCATGGTGAAGGGCTGGAGTTAGCCAAAAGTTTGAGGGCCTGCTATCTTGCTTCTCCTGCCCAGGCAAAAAGCAATGTGTAGTAAACAACTTTCTATTTTGTGCCATCTTTGATCATCTTGTTTATGGACTTGGTTATCTTCAGACATAATAAGTTTTTCCAGACTTATTCTGAATATTTACAGACTCAACTGTAGAATTAGACCTTCTCTGGAGATTCCTGACTTTTTTGCTGGATAAAAGAGCAGGATCCAAAATCTGGGTGATGACAAGTGCACTCATCAAATATCTTTAGGAAGATCCAATATCACCCCACTGAAGAACGTGTCCATGTGTTGCATGAATCTAATCCGAGTGAATAGCAGGCAAGCCTAAGTTGAGGACTATTCCGCAAGATAGTTTACATTCTTGCTGACTGCCAAGGTCATTAGAAGAAAGGAAAACTTGAGGAAGTGTAGAGACACTAAATAAATGTGACAGGATCATGAGTTATCCTGACACAGAAAAACAATAGTTTGCTGTTATTTTAAACGCAATTGCGATTAATGATACCATGTAAAATAGGACGATAAAGTTTTCTAGTGATGAGATGGAAAAGAAGGTTGAAGGCATGGAAATTTCTTCTGGCAATCTGGCATGATCGAGTAAATATCAGAGTTTTGTCTTTTGTGTGTTTATGTGTATTGTTTGTGTATGGTAGGTGTGTGGGGGGGATACTTGTGAATGTGTATATTTACCTGTGTGTGCATGCAGAAGACAGAGCAGGGCATCAGTTCTTCTCTATGGCTCTCTGCCTTACAGGGTCTCTCACTGAATTGAAAGTTCACATTTTGGCTAAACTGGCCTGTGGTGAGCTCTTGGGATTTACTTGCCTTTTTCCCCTGAGGCTGGGTTATGGCACATTTGTAGTCATGCCCAGCTTCTCATGTGAGTCATTCAGATTTGAACATAGAATCTCACACTTTCATAGCAAGCATTCTTTTTAAAAATGTTTGTTTTTATTTAATGTTTGTGTATTTTATACAGATTATTTCAAACAATCTTAATCATCTTTATATTCCCATCTTCACTGACACCCTTTCATAGCCTCCCCCCACTGGAACCCATATACTGTCATCCATGTTAAGGCCCAATGTGTCATTTCAGTGTCCCCAGATGTTCCCCAGTGCAAGTCCATCCACTGAGGTCTAGTCACCCTATCTAAAGTTTCTTGTTTTAGGAGGATCTGCTCTTCCTCACCCAGCAGTAAGCAGTTGCCAATGTTTCTTCAGCTAAAATTGGGGTCTGCTGTTCAAAGCATTCTAATCCACTAGCCCATCTTTCCCAACCCTGTAAATACTAGTTTTAAAGAAGGAGGACACAAGTTTAACTCTTAGCCTTATCAAATGTTAGCATCTCACTTAATTTCAATGACTCTCACTGTATGATAATTATGGCAACAAGTTTTCAAAACTCCAAGTAGGTTTTAAAACGTGAGTTGTTAATTTTCGATTTGCACAATTTTTTTTTTTACATATTTTGGCTTCTTGTATCTTGGAGCCACAGTTTATGAAGATATTCATATAAATTCCCCTTCATCCAATGTAGCTGTAGAATATCTTCCTATGTGGTGACATATGTATCAGCAGCTTGATCAATACACATCTTCATTGTCTCCATACCTTCACACAACAAATCAAGATACTGGAGTATAAGACAGAATCAGTGATGCTTGCTGAAGAAATTCTGATAATATCTAGGAAAGGACACGAGATTGGACTTTGAAATTTTCCATTATACTGTCTTAGAAAAAGTGACTATTTTCTCTTTTTTATGCTTCTTATACCTTGACAAAATACCTAAAATGGCTTTCATAGATCAGTGCAAATAGCACCATTAAACATGCTTAATAGGTGTGCCATGCCATGCTATTCTTACAAGTTATCACAAGCTGATACTTAAAACAACAAAACTTATTAACAGCAATTCAACTACAGCTTGGAGCCCACAAATTCAAAAATATTAAGTTGCATGCTTAGTTCTGTATGAAAACTTTGAAAGAGAATCTACTCCATAGCTTCAACAATCCTCGGTGTTTTGGGTCTCAAACATACATATATTTCAGTCTGCCTTTTCCTTCACATGATTATTTTCCTCTCTCTCTCTCTCTCCCTCTCTCTGTTTATAATGGTATTTCATCCGATTTAGTCTATTTTGAATATTTTTTTATTATTTTAATTTTATGTGTATGAGTGTATTGCCTGCATGTAAGCAGGCACACCCATGTTGTGCAATGCCCATGGAGGTCAGAAGTAGGCATCAGTTCCTCTGGAACTGGCATTACAGATGGTTATTAGCCACCATCTGGGTGTTATTAATCAAACCCCAATCCTCAAGAGCAGCCAGTGCTCTTAACCACTGAGCCATCTCTCCAGCCACTTGATTCAAGAAAATAGAGACATTAATTTTCTAACAGGAACTAGTATCTAAAATCCAGCTTTTCTTTTAGTCTCAAATTCTCCTTTTTTGGATTTTAATTAACTTTATTTTTAAAGGTAGAAAAATAACTGATGTAGTAGTAATGGTGCTTAAAACAATTTCCCCCAAACATTAATGTTCATTCACACATACACTCATACTTATTTCAAAAGGCATGCCAATAATCTTAAATTTTAATACATGATTAGTTCAAAATGAAGAAATACTGCAAAAATAAAATGGTTTGAGATTTCATATTTGGTTATCTTTAGGAGCTCCAGCTGGAGTGATTGGTTTTGCCTCAATGTGTCTTGAGTTCTTTAAGGAATAGTCAGCAGCAACTCTCTCCAGTGTGTGTGCATTAAGGTAAAAGTCTCATGGTTACATACATAAACTGGAGATCAACAACACCCCTGTTTCTCTATCATCAACTATTCTTTAGAACAAATGGATCAATAGAGCCTTGACTTTTCCTGACATATGGTGGGTATCTCAACAGGTTGAAAGAGCTTTCGAATTGTCAAAGTTTATCCCACAAGTGGTGTAAAGCCTAAATGGTTCAAGAAAGAACAGCAGAAGACAGAGACAGTCACCAAACGGCACAAATGAGTCCAAACAAAGAGCAAAGCCAAGCCAGAGGTGAACCAATTAGGCATAGACTTACCAAAGGCCAGACTTTTGAAAATCCAAATCAAAGTCCAAAAGTACTTGCTTTTCTGTTTCAGCAAGAAGTCGTAAAAAGCAACTGGTGCTGACTTAATTGGAGAGGTAGAAAAATGTCCCTTGAGTAAATAACTCCAGCTGCTGCTGGGACCTTCCATCTTTCCTCTCCATCCAAGGCCAGCTTCCTAAAGGTGACAGACACCTCAGAATGTGTCTTTTATCCCTGCGTGGTTGCTATATTGTTATTAGACTTGGGATTATAGTCTGTATCCCAAGAAGCCAGGTTCTGTCACCCATCCTCACTATATCAATCAGAAAAGCCAAAGTAGTAGTAAAAAGCATCAGAAGATTTATTCAATGCAGCCACATTGTAAAGAGAGATAAAGAGAGCAGTGACCCATTTAAGTATGTCTTCAAGGTCCTGAAGTAAGAGTAAAGCTTAATTAGAGGGCCAGGGATATGTCCATCTAAGCAGTCCTGGCCAAGGTGTGGTCTTACCCACTGATCCATCACTGTCTGGACTCGTTTCTCCAGTAAGGTGATCTGACATGACGTCACTACTGTGTGCAATCTTGATAACTAAACTAAAATATTCTTTATTAAAAAACATGATTTTCCTGGCTTCATTTCTGTTGCTGTGATAGAATACCCTGACAAAAGGGAAGAAAGGGTTTATCGTAGCTCAATTCCAGGTTAGGGTCCATCACTGCAGGGAAATCAAGTTTAAAACAGATTATTTTGGTATATAGGTGGGGTCAGTCTAATCACAAAACCCCACGAGAGCACACCATATCTTGTCCTCATCTTTAAAGGCGTCCTAACCTGGACTGCTAAAGTATTTGCATAACACTGTCCTTTGGGCAAGGCACACCTTTTAATAGTATTTTAACCATGTTTCCTAGGACTTTGAGCATAATTTGTACCAGTAGGTTAGCACTGTTTCATTAATTAAATAAAAGTGATACGGGGTTTGGGAAACTTCCAGAGGATTCTCTGTTAGGATTCACTACACAGCAAGGATAGACTTATGTGACCAGTAGAGAACAATAAATCCCATTTGATGTTTCAGTGTGGATTTTCTGGTTCCCAAGTGGCTGATGCAGAGATCAGTAGCTTCTTATTCAAGAAAGAAAATTTCTACAAAAGCTGAAGATGGGTTGGAATGAATCATCACTATTCTTATTGATCACTACCCACCTGGCACCATTGCATAAGATTTCTGTCCCCTTGAAAACTCTTGCCTGGAACCTTCGGCAGTGACACTTAACCTTGCTTAATGGATAGATTCTGCAGATACACTCTGACCACACTGAGCTTTAAATCCTAACTATTACCACAAATAAGTCTTTATTCTCTGAGGCTGTACTTTGTCAGAGACAGAAATCCAAAACCAAACAAGCAAGCAAAACAAAAACAAAAACAAAGCCACTAAAATCAAGAAGCACAGAAAGTCCTTTCAAAGGTTAAATACCTAGGCCGGGTGTGGTGGTATGTGCCTTTAATCCCAGCCCTCAGGAGACAGAGGCAGATGGATCTCTGTGAGACTGAGGCTAACCTGGTTCACATTGTGACTTCCAGGTGGGCTGTGACTAGAGAGAACCTGTTAAAAAACAACCAACAAAAGGACAAAAAAAGGGGTTGGAGAGATGGCTCAGCGGTTAAGAACACTAGTTGTTCTTACAGAAGACCCAGGTTCAAATCCCATCACCCACATGGCAACTATCAACTGTCCATAACTCCAGTTCCAGGGGATCCGACAGCCTCTTTTGTCCTCCATGGCATTGCATGACACAGGTGCTTGTATGTACACATAGGCAATACATACATACACATGAAATAAAATATTTTTTAAAAAAGGCCAAAAAACCCCTCCAAAAAACCAAAAAGATCAAATACCTAGATAGCAGCTTTTCCATATTT